CCTGCCAGTAGCCATCTATTGTAGAGAGCTACACATCAGCATCCTTATCATGGTTTTGGAGAGTTCTCTTTGGAAGCTTCCTATCTAGGCTGTTACTTTTTTGGAGGATGGGGGTGGAGGTAGAGGTTGTCACAGAAGCCTTTTATGTCTCTCTTTCTTAACTGTGAGTCTGCAGTCATCCATACCCCTGCAGAAGAAGTTTCCTTGTCCTTTCCAGTCAGCAGGAACACAGTGAATGGACTTCCACATGGTATCTGGCAACAGTACCGACCTCAGCTATCCATCTGGTCTCTAGCATCAGCACATGCCACAGACCTCAGCATGGTCCCCTGGAGGCAGCCTGGCCCATGCCCATCAACATGGCTTCAGGTGGCAGCAGAGACAACAGGTGTCTACGTGGCTTTTGTTAATAACAAGGATCACAGATATCAACTCGGCCCCAGGTGGCAGCAAGACCATGGACCCAGACATGACCCACTGTGGCAGCGTGGACCATGGCAAGCAACGTGTTCAACATAGCCTCAGGTGGCAGCACAGGCTACTCACATCTGAATGCCCTCCCTCCCTGCATCATGGCCCATGGCCATTAACATGGCTTCAGTGGGTAGCACAGATAGCTTTTGGTGGTGATATGGTCTGTGGACTTCAACAAGAGTTCTGGTTGTAGCAGGACCACAGACCCAGACATGGCTCCTGGAGGCAGCCTGGGCTAGAGATATCAACACCACCTCAGGTGGCGGTACAGGCAAGGTACGTCCAATGGTAGTTCAGGTTGTAACCATTGACATGGTTCAGCCTCTTTCCACAGCTTACTCACCATTCAGCTCCTCCATCCTTCCTATAACTTCAGGGCACATTGTTTGATGCAGTGGGACTGGAGACTGCGCACATCATATATAAACTATATGGTTTATTAGGTTACACAGTACATCACCACAGAGGTAAACATGCCTGGCAGATTTGGGTTACTAAGGTCATACATTCTAGAATTATACTTGGCTCTACTCCTGTTCTCAGCACTCAGGAGGCAGAGCCAGGTGGATCTCTGTGAGTTCAAGGCCAGCCTGGTCTACAGAGCAAGTTCCAGGATAGGCTCCAAAGCTACACGAAGAAACCCTGTCTCAAAAACAAACAAACAGCCGGGCGGTGGTGGCGCACGCCTTTAATCCCAGCACTCGGGAGGCAGAGCCAGGCGGATCGCTGTGAGTTCGAGGCCAGCCTGGGCTACCAAGTGAGCTCCAGGAAAGGCGCAAAGCTACACAGAGAAACCCTGTCTCGAAAAA